AAAAATACTGAACTTGCTTTTATTCATTTATTATTAGTAATTTAGACAAGAGCCATATTGTGGTTGGGTCTCACTATATTTATCTGTCATATATACCTGCACTGCTGCTGGAGCACAAGGTTGAGGATTGCTACCCAGGTGCTGCTGTTCTACAAGCCCTCTGTGACAAAATTCATGGAGAATCAATACATACCTATGACTAAGGCATTAGGGTCCATACAGCAATGTAAGTGCATTCCATACTCTAGCAATGATTCCTGTTATCCAGACTATTGTAACTCTTGGCAGGAATAGTACATGTGAGGGTGGAGGTGGTGTTGTAGTGTGCATGCAACTATGCACCTCCAACATACAGCTGCACATTAATGGTGCTTTTGTAGAGTTTGTGTGCCTTCCTTATAGATTTCATTCGATAGGGTGATTTCAGCTGGTTTCCTCCCAGAATTTAATCCAATTGGGAATTTGTAAAGAGAGCAGCACATCAGAGCCTACATTTTCCAAATGTATTGGAGAGGATTTTTGTTTTATTTAAATGTTGAGATAATCTTAATTCTATATGCAGCAATTGATATTAAAATGTGTATAATTTGCATCATTATTTTATAATGTTTTGAGACATGAATGATGATTTATTCTTTACTGTTTGAACAGTCCTACAGTTTTAAGCAAGTGCTTATTACAGCAGTTCTTAGCCAGGGTGGGAGCGGGGAAGACTGCTTAATACAATCCATTAGGAAATTCAAGCCTTAAATGAAATGACCACAAAGTCCTATCGGCTCACTGAAATACAGCAGCTGTACATATTTATTGTAATACAACACTATATTGTTGCAAAGATATGCTGTTTAAAACATGCATAAGGCAGGTGAAATGTGACCATTTTACTCCTGTTTGAAAAATGAGAAGCTGTAGAGTGGTGTAACTTTTCAAATACATAAATAAACATTAGACTCGTGGAGAAGACAGGTACATGGCCAGACTAGTAATAAGAGTTTAAAGGTCACTGGGTATACCTGAAACTTTTGCAACCTTGTTACTTGTAAATTCTGGGGAAGGTGAAGAGCTGTTTAAACTAAAGGACAATGTTAACACAAGAGCAAATGGATATAAACAGACCATGAACAAATTCAGGCCGAAAATTAGATGAAGGTTTCTAGCCATCAGAGGAGTGAAGTTCTGGAACTACCTCCCAATAGGAATTCTGGGGACAAACTATGTAATGAGTTTAAAGGGAGGGCTGACAAATTTATGAGTGGGATTGCATGATGGGGTTGCTTGTGATGTGAGGGTGGGGGCAGAACTTGAGAGCCCTGGGGGTCCCTTCCAGTTTATGTTTTTAATGGCAGGGTTCAGCCAGTCACCTGCAGGGGTCAGGAAGGGATGTTTTTCCCTGCAAAGTATTCTGGGTTTTTTTGGTCTCCTTCTTCTGAAGCATCAAGGATGACCATCGCAGCAGACAGGACACTGGACAAGGTGGGACAGTACTCTCAGTAAGCATTCTCTCTCAGGTGCTTGGCTGGCTGGCTGGCTCTTGCTCACATGCTCAGCATCTAACTGATCACCATCAGAGGGGTCAGGAAGGAATTTTCCCCCAGGCTAGATTGGCAGTGACCTTGGGGTTTTTCACCTTCCTCTGCAGCACATAGAGTCGGTCTCTTACTGGGATTAACTGGGGCTATCTCATTTTGGGGAGAGGGATAGCTCAGTGGTTTGAACATTGGCCTGCTAAACCCAGGGTTGTGAGTTCAATCCTTGAGGGGGCCATTTAGAGATCTGGGGCAAAAATCTGTCTGGGGATTGGTCCTGCTTTGAGCAGGGGGTTGGACTAGATGACCTCCTGAGGTCCCTTCCAACCCTGATATTCTATGATTTAATCAATTCCCTGCCATTGCAGGAGCTAGGGCATCAGTCCACCTCAGTCCCTCCTGTTCTCTGCCTGTGGCACATAACAATGTTTAGTCTTTTGCAAGCTGTGATCCTTTGGTCTAATTTTGGTCAATAGGTTTACTGCACAGGTGCTAAGTGATACTGTGGGCTCATGGGAGTGCTTAATTTATAATGAAAAAGATGCTGGGACTCAAACAATTAGCTGCCAAGGCTCAAGCAATTTTATTTTTTTTTACTTTCATAACTGACATGGCAAGCCCAGAGGTGCCAGAGCTATGAACTGCCAAGCCTAGAGGTGCCAGGGCTCAAGCCTCGACACAAATTAAGCACTGGCTAGTGATGTATGCACAGGGTCACACTAGATGATCTGGTGGGCCCTTCTGGCCTTAAACTCTATGACTTCGATCTTGTGCCGTGTTTCTCAAAATCTTGTTCTATTAGCTAGAGTGAAGTGCAAAATAATAAGGGCCTGCTGAACTCTCCTGAACCTGCCTAACTTCAATAGCAGCATTAAAGTTCCCTGAGTATTGCATCCTGTGCTTGTTCATATTGAACACCATGAATATAGAGGTGATAGAAAGTTCTAGATTGAAAATAATGTGTGGACCAGGTTCAGGTCTCAGTTTCACTCATGCAGCCACAGGCTCTCACAGGTGTAACCGAGGGTGGAATTTGGTCCTTTAACTTAAAGAAGGCTTTTAGGCAATGATCCAAATGCTGTCAATTGTGTTGCCTTGCCATATCTTAATTTCTCAAGGCACATGGGAAAGTAGGACACATGTTGATCCTTAATATTTACAGAAGAAAACCCAGTTACTGTTGTGACTTGTTTGAGAGAAGTGTAGAGCAACTTATTGTGGTGAAATGTGCATTTAAAAGAATAAGAACTTCTTTTGTTCTTGAGATCTACAGAAAAGAGTTAGACTGTATGCAGAGGTTTCTGTCTGAGGAGAGATTCAAAATATTTGGGACTGTTTAGTTTAGAGAGGAGACAAACAGATGTGATATGATAAGATGTCTAATATAAAGAATGAATGGTACAAAGAAGGTAAATTGGGCACTTCACTTTACCCTTTCCTATAATACATGAACAAGGGGACATACAACAAAACTGACAGGCAACAAATTTAAAACTGGTAAAGGGAATATTTATTTACACAATACATGATTAATCTGTCTCTCTTATGGCCACAAAATATAATTGGATCCTATTCTCTTAGTCATAACAGGATGACACATTGATATGGATAATGACAACACCCACAATTACATTAAGTAGAATCTTTTTAAAAGGTTTTTTAGATGGGATATAAGCCCCCTGCTTCATGGCATAAGCCAAAGACTAACACATGGGTCGTAGGCCCCACTGTGGATTAGTAATTCCATAATTGTCCTCTATAGGATTTCTTGCTGCTTCCTCTAATGCATCTGGTACTGGCCACTGTCAGACATACAATACTGCATTAGATGGACAACTGGCAATTCCTATGTTCCTGTGTGCTGCTTTACTCAAGTAAATCCTGCCATTGGAAGCCAGAGGAGTTGCAGCTCAATAAGAAGTGCAGGACTGGATCCTTCGTTACCCCAGAGAGCTTACAGCATGCACACTTGTGCATATGCACACACACACACAGGGGTACTTCACTGTCCATGATCTGAACATCCAATTCTATAAACCATCTTACATGAAAGAAATTTACTATTTTCATGTCAAAATGTGGAGTATCTTAGATGCATTTCTCCCTACCCACCCCACGTCCTCCAAATAAAGAGAGAGAAACACTACACTTCACAGAAGCTTCCACATGATTGTTTAACTTGCCTATCTGCTCCAGTAAACATTATGAGCTTGATTCTCAAAGACTGCCACTAAAATTCCACTCTGCTGATTTTTGCAACCTAATTCTTTAGGCTTTTCTGGGGGCGGAGTGGGGGGAACAGAATGATGTGACCCAAATTTATAAAGGAGGGTAATTTGCAGCTACAATGTTTCTTCCATCTAAAATCCTTTTTTTTTTTATCATAGATTGCAAGTATCAGATGGGGGGGAATTATTTTTAAGATGACAGACTTCAAATGTTCTGCAGCATGAGGGGAAAATATGCAGGTTTAATAAACAAAAATGTGAAGAATTTTATGAATAAATAAAGCTTTCTAGATCAATTAGTCTCACCCAAGGACTCCACTATTACACTAATAAGTATCAAACTGCCATAGCTATTTTTTGTAACAATTAGAAGTTGGTGTGTTTTGCAGGGATGGGGGGGGGGTGTTTGTTTTTTATAACAGAAACACCCTATATTCTGCTGCACAAACCAGCTGCTAAAATAAAGTACAGGGCACTTTCAGTCACTGCACTTTACAGATTAGAATAATTTTTGTGGTCATTTCACTTTGGGAAATCAAGCCAATATTAGAATTCCATTTTAACTTGAGATAAAATGATCTTTCAGATTACTGGAAACATCCTCGTGCTATGATATATGGTTTTGTCACTGCTTACCCCACACAAAACACCAAAATGTCTGAGCTTTTTTAAAGCAGTAAGTCCGTAATTGTTTACATTTGAAGATAAACTTTAAAAGCATGAAACTAAGGTCCTGATCCAAAGCTCACTGAAGTCATTGCCTTCACTGCACTTTGGATCAGGCCCTAACTGCATATGCCATCGCCAATGATCCTGCTGCCACTGAAATCAATGACAAAACTTCTCTTGACTTCAGCTGCGCAAGATATAGCCACCTACCAAAAGTAAGACTTGTATGTCTACCTCCCTATGCACAGCTATGAAGATCCCTCCCCTAGTCTTACACATAGAGCAAATATAATAAGATTCTGAAGCAAAACCATCATTCTTATTTTATAGTGCATTATTAGTATCGTCTAATTAAATTCATCCACCCTCACAGAACTCAGGCATTAAGCTGAGGGAAACTGAGAAAACAGGTTACACATTAGTAAGGGGTGATAGTCCAACAGACAATACATATGGAAAGGTAAAGGGAACAGACAAAACAGAAAGAACCAAAAAAAAAAAAAATTTTTTTTGCTAGCTACGAAATGAGACCCGAGCTAGGCCTGTGTAGGGTTACATCTTTCTTTGGCTCTCTTACCTTGTTTCTCTTGAAGTATGCTCTTCGGCAAGCTGCAAAGCACTTCTCACTGCAGAAGCATTTCACTTCACTTCCCATACTCAGGGAATAGCGCTTGATTCCCACTTTCTGGCACCAGGCACACATTATTTGTACATTTGACACATCATCTTCTACAACAAAAATATAAAAATAATGTTTATATCAGATGCAAACACCCAATCAGACATCTACGCACTCAACCTCAGAACTCTATTGCAGTAACTTTGTCTTCCTCACTCTTTGTGAGCAGAACGAGGCAGGCTTGTGATTAACTACTTGTTCCCTAGGCAGCTGGTATCCTGTGCCAACCAGGCCAGGAGTCTGGCAGAACTTCTGAGATGGATGGAAAAGATTATAATAAAAAATGGTGCATCACTGAAAAGCTCTGGAGGTCCTTGGGGCTTTTTAGCATGTTTAAGAAAGTGCCTAACTGTATTTATTAAACCAGTAACCAACACTAAAGACCAATGTAACTAATGCTGTTACATTCCCATTACTTAAAATCCATTATCAAGAGCCTCGGAGGAATTCTGCTCAGCAGCTAGTTGATAAAATATACATGGAAGCTACTGCACCAGAGCAATGTAATGAGGGCCCTTACAAACAGGATTCTAAATGGGATGTAGGAAGGAAAAGGAAATGCCCCATTTGGGTGTTGATTCCAAATAATGACTAGAAGAGAATGGGAGGAGGTTTTCTCCAAGTAAGATTGACACAAAAATACATATTTGAGTGAGAGGGGAGATGCCTAATTGTGTTACTAAAATCTGCAAAGTGATTCTTATCATGGTTGAGTACATTTTAACTCACCAAGAGTTCTCTAAGATGTGCTATTTGACCCTGTTTTGAGTTCTTCTGACATGTATGCGGAGATTTAACTTTTTAATATTTACATTAATTTTGGTGTTATTTCCCTGAATTTTAGGGAGATCATTTCAATCATTCATAAGAAAGTGAGTGCAGCTTTATACTCGATGCCATTTTCCTCACCTCATAGTCCTCATTCTCTTTCCAGTATTTCTCATGTCTCTATTCTAATTTGATAAATATTTTCTAGCAACCATCTTGTACTGATTTAATCATTTCTGTTCTCTAGAGCCTCCAACTTCTTTCCCCAATTACATTCTTTGCCACTAGCTCTTTGTGCTGTTATCTACAGTTGTTCCTGTCTATCTAGAGTATGGAAGTACCTAGACTGTTGCTTTAAATTGGATTCATATAGTCAAGTGCAAGAAAATTCCCCATAATAATAAGACTTACATAGCACTTTTCATCTTCAAATCCTGGCAACGCTACTGTGAGGTCTGTATTCTTATCCCCATTTTATGGAAGGGGAAACTGAACAGTTAAGTTACTTGCACAAAGCAATACAATAAATCAATGGCAAACCCATGATTTAGGACTAAGGATTCTATTCCTATATCCAGTCCATTAGACAACATGACCTTTCAGTCACTGATATTAACTATTGTCTGATTTCGTGCTGCATTTTATTCACCTTAGCAGAATAAATATTGCCAGTTTAATAATGTTTTTCCTTCCACAAATTGTGTTGTGATTTATAGTTACAAATAAAATTGTACAATGTAAAAAACTTGACCTTTTAATTTGAATCAGACTGTACACCTTTAAAACTACATTTAAGGCCAAGCCATAATTTAGATTTGTGTTTAATGTGCTATAATTATGACATTTTAGCACTTACTCTTTAGAGTGGGATTTGCCAAAATCTCATAAATGTTCTAACATATTTGACATTAATGGAAATCAAAATACTTTGGGCCAAATTATAGCCAGCCATGCATGGGTTCAAGAAGCTCACACTGGGGGCAGTTATAATTTTGGCTGCAGGATGCTTTGGAGTACAGACTGGCAATAGGAGCTGCCTAGTGTTGTCATGGCCCCGGGCCTGCCCTGAGAACCAGCAGGGCTGTATTGGCAGCAGTACAAAGTACACCTATTCAAATGTGAGTCAAGAAGCGCTTTCCATCATGCTCCCCCAGAGCCACTGAAGGCAGTATGCCTTCGCAAGGGCATTGTTTCTGAGAAAGTACAACTCCTTTCCCACCTTAGTGAACCTGCTCCTTTTAGAAGGCATCATTTTGCCTTGTTGAATTTACCTGGCAAGAGAAGAGCTGGGGAAGCAATAAAAACAAAGAAAAACCACTTGCACCTGAAAACAGCAATGTGCAGCATTAAAGTCACTAAATGTACTTGATATTTTCCCCTACCAATTTAAGAATATTAATTCTTAGAATGTTCTACAAAGCGCGAAAATGGAAGAGGTGCAGATGCTCCCTTTTGCAACAACCTTCATTAATGCTGAGAAGAGCTGAAAGGGGGAAACTCACCAGCTGAAAGCAGAGCTTAGCCTCTTTGAAAGTAATTGCTGGGAGCACTCACTTCCAAAGTACATAGGTTCTATAACAATGTGGACTTGAAGAATGAGCACAAAATTCCAAAACAGGGGTTCTGAAACTATTCCATAGTGCGGGCCACATCTTAATAGAGAGAACCACTCACCCAACTGTTCATGAACAAACACTCTCTCACTGGTGATCAGGAAGATCACCTATCCACCCATTTACAATCACCTAACATCCTTGTGGCAACAACAGCAACTGCTTCCACGAGAAAAGTAATCCTGGGGGGCTCAGTTGTACTCTGTTTTTTTGCAGCCATGCAGGTGGAGTAAGGCTCTCCCATACCTCCTTGTGGGGCCATGTAAGGCCTTGCATTCAGCTCCTGGCATAGAGGGAAGAATAGGAGCTGTCCACTCCATATATATACTGTCCTCCTCTGTCTTAAATAAATCCCGCTACAAGCTGGCCATCAAAACTAGCTGAGAGTGTATGCTTCATCCATAAAGGACAGTAGTAAAATACTCCCACGCCCCAAACAGCAGTGGCGGAACTGTGGCTCAGGGATCTCTGAGGCACATGTTTCCTGGGACAAGGCAGCTAAGTCATCACCCTTTGCTCAGTGCTGTACCTTAAGGCACAATCTTACCCTAAGAAAGTATATAATGTATTTTTAACTTCTCTTAATTCAATTTACCAGGTGGAAATAAGTAAGTAAAGGAGCCAGTGCCATGTGATCAATCAGCTCTCCATGGACCACCAACAGGTAGGCCACAGACCACAGTCTGAGAACCTCTGTTCTAAAACAATGTATTTCTTTAGCTTTGAGTGAGTAGGGCGGACAGATAAAGGTACACAGGATAAAATCAGGACAAGCGTAGAGCCAAGTGCTATGGTTTACATGGCAGGATATATGGATGAAAGCTGGGGGCCAGATTAAAGTTCCTGATTTGTGCACATATTTTCCTCTTCTTCATCAGTTACAAGACTGTATTGAGCTTGTGAAAATATTTAATAGGAACCTTACATGACAGGGTATTAACCTTAGTGGTTGAACAAGCAGAGTACAACTTTTAAAACAGCTAATAGTCCAGCCACTTCTCTAATTACAAAACAACGGCACTGGGAAATAAAACAAAAAATATCAATTAAGATTTTGTATAGTAAGAAACAGAGTTTGCTTGTTTGGGTTTTTTTTTGTCTTATTCTAAAAAGAAACTGGAATGCTCCAAAAACTGTAGTTTAAGTCTTCCATAGAAGTCAGGATTCCCATAACTTTTTCACAGACCTTGGTTTCATACTAAGACTAAATCCTTCAGAATTATCTTTACCAGATACTTGCCCTTCTGTTAGGAAAATGTATCAATAAATAGTATCTAGCGCACTCAGTGACAAGAGTTTACAGCAAGAACACAGAAAAGAAGGGACTCTCAAACTGAACATATTCAATTGGCTTGTCTATCCTCAATCTTTTCCAAAACTCTTTTATGTGATTACATTAGGCCAGGTCTACAATGAGTGTTTTTCCAGTATAACTATACCAGTATATTATACTGACAAAGTGCTCCTAGTATGGACACAATGTATGCTGCCAAAACTGTATTTTGTATCAGTCTCGCTTATTTCAGACCACTTGTGCAAAATATGCTATCCTGGCAAAACCACAATATTGCCAGTATGACTGCGTCTACACTTGTGGCTTTTGTGAGTACAGCTCTGTTGGTCAGGAATCACACCTCATAGCACCCCTGACTGACACAGGTATGATGGTAATGTCTGTAGTGCAGATCTGGCCTTCATATCATATTTTACAGTTGGTAAGACAAAGATAAAGTTAATTTTGGAAACTCTTCAATTGTTTTGCCAATTCTGTATTATTCCCTTGGGGTCCATTCCTGCAAGGTGTTTATCACCTCCTTAGAGGTGCTGAGCTATCCCAATATACTTTACACTCAACATTTATCAAAGGTAATGACAGTATTCTCAGGCATCAGACAAGCAAGATTTAGCACAGAGAAAGTAAGTAGTAACAAGTGAGTTTTCAGCAGAACATCCACACTGTTTTCTATAAACACACCAGGTATTAAAACCACACATTTCTTTCATTTACTGCTCGAGATCTGAATTTCCAGCCTTTATTTTAGTGAGATCTCAGCTCTTAGGAAGAGTTATTCTGGGAGTTCCAATCTTGTGTTTTTCTGCCCCTGGGTTATGTCATTACATGTTGAAAGAGTGCTCCCTGCAACTGCTGCACAGATAGTGCTTATATACATCTCTTTATGGTTCTTAGCCTGTGTATTTTTCATAATGAACAATGCAATAAGCGCAGTATGTTTGCAGAGTTAAATCATGTTCCCAAAGGGAGCAGTTTGTATAACAAGATAAAATTATCATATTATAATAACTAAATATGCATCAGGCTAGAGCATGTTCAATTAATCATCAAAAGTTTGCACTGTCTCTTTAGGTCTTAATTAAGCAGAATGGTGTTGGGGATTTTGTATGGTTGGTTTTGTTTTTCCCTTCAAACCTATGTGAAGGAGCTATCGAAAATTGTCAATCTTAAAGCCACTAAGTAGCTGTTTTGGTGAATCCCTCTTATATGTAGTCATAATATTGGGGTGGGGGAGGAAGAAACAGAAAGTAACCAAGAACAATAAGAGTAAATCCTTTCCTTATAGCTCTAACCCATAATCCAGGTAAACAAGCAGGGCCTATTGTATTAGCAGGATGAATTCCCTAAAATTATGGTGCTAAATCCTGCTTGTTTT